TCACCCAAGTAACCCATCCTGATGGAGAAGATGTTAGCTCTAGACGAAGATGAACAAGATTGTGTTGTCACTACCAATGTCGTCTAGAGGTTTCAATAATGTGTAAATATAATCGATGATATTAATTTTTTTTTTAAATGAAAAAATTGCTATATATCTAGACAATATATATATATATATATATATATATATATATATATATATATATATATATATCTTCCATACAAATGAATATGGATAGCAAGGGAGTTGTTAGAGAACAAGCACATTTACCTAATGTATGAAAATACTAAACAATGATAAATAAAATCTTCAAAATTATAGGACCGCATTCGTACATCTAGACATTAGCTATTAATTTGAGCAATTATTTGCACAAATTCAAGCAATGATAACATCAAAATATATAAACGATTCAAATTATATCTTTAAGTGCACTATATAATATTTGATGTTCTAATTTAAATAATTATTTATTGATTCATATATTCTTAATATATTACAACATATTCATTCCGTGCATCGCACGGGTGCAAATACTAGTATATATAAAAGTAAAATCCTCCTAACAAATTTTCCCCCCAAAACTTTTGTAGTAAAGTTTATTTGGTAAGTAAATGTCAAATGGAAATTAAATAAAATCTATTAATTGTTATATTACATAATTGATAATATTATGTATGGTATTATATTCTATAATATAATTAAAAATATTATTATTCAAGTATAATAAAAATCTTATGAAATAATGTAATCATAATAAAATAAAATAAAAATAATAACAATAACAATATAACAACAACAACAACAACAACAACAACAACAATAATAATAATAATAATAATAATAATAATAATATAAAAACCATATAAATTTTTTCCCAAAACTTAGCGGCATTTATATAATATCCGAATTTTCTAATTTAATTAATTATTAAAATATAGAAATTATATATTATATATTATTCATTTATGTGTAGACATACTTATTACTGTATATAAAGTAAATTAGGTAAATATATTCTAATAATAATAATAATATAAAAACCATATAAATTTTTTCCCAAAACTTAGCGGCATTTATATA